TTGGGCGGGCGGCCTGTATGTCCCAGCTTCTAGGGGGGAGGCTGAGGCAGGGAGAACTGTGCACTGAAACCTGGGAGGCGGCGTTTAGCTTGCAGTGAGCGGAGGATCGCGGCCACTTGCAGCTCATCCCTCGGTGACAGGAGCTTAGAGTCCGTCTCAAAAAAAAGTGAACCTCTTGGGGGTGGGACGCAGTTGGTCATGGTTTGGGGTGAATGGGCACACGGAGGGACATGTTTAGCGAAACTCACCTTGGACACTGGTACACCTCAATATATGGTGGGCAGAGCCTCAGGAGGCCAAGGCTTGGCAGTGAGCCCAGGATCTCACCACTGCCCCTCCAGGCCTGGTGGACAAAAATGAGACACCTGGTCTTCAAAAACAAACACACAAAAAAAAAAAGAGCCCAAGGCCTGCTGATCTCAGGCCTGTCATCCCAACCTTTTGGAGGCCAAGGCGGTGCGGGATCACCTGAGGTCAGGAAGTTGAGGACCAGCCTGGCGCACATAGTGAAACCCCATCTCTACTAAAAATACCAAATTAGCGGGTGATGGTGACCAGGTGTCTCGTAATCCCAGCTACTCGGGAGGGCTGAGGGAGGGAGAAGTTGCTTGAACTCGTGAGCAGAGGTTGTAGTGAGCGAGAATCGCACCCACTGAACTCAACCTGAACAGGTGGAACTCAGTGAAAAAAAAAAAAAAAAAATAAAAATTCAGCTGGCATGTAAATTTCGCTTTACCTCCGAATTAAAAAGCCAGGGGCTGCGCATCTTTGGGAAGACGGAGGCCAGTTCGATTCAACCTGAGGTTTAGGAGTTCAAGCCCAGCCCTTGCCCAACATTGGGGTGAAACCCCCATCCTCCACTAAAAAAAATACAAAAAATTAGGCTTGGGCCTGGTGTGGGTCCTATAATCCCAGCTAGCTAAGGGAGGCTGGGCAGGGAAAAATTGGCCTTGAACCCAGGAGGCCAGAGGTTGCCCATTGAGGCCCGGATGATCGCATTCACTGCGACTCGCCTTGGTGACAAGGTGGGGAGAGATAGGCTCCTCTCAAAACAAAAAAAAATTAAAGGTTAAGATTTGCTTTTTAGGAAAATAAAGGCATTAGAGGAGGGGCCGCCTATCAAAATTTTTTGTATGCTTCCAACGAAGAATAAATCTGAAGAATATCCAGATGATTTGTGGAATTTTTACAAAGACTAATTGAGGACCACTTGAAAGGCATTAGGAGATGCGTTTGTTCTTCTGATTCCCTCTTGTGACCCAGCTTCCCTGGGAAGGGATACGTGGAGGTCTGAATCCGTGTCGGTTAGGGGTGAGCTGAACCACAGAGGAAGGAGGTAGAAAGGGCAAAGGAAACCAGGGCCCACACTTAAAAATCCACCGTCCCCCTTCCAAAAACCTTTTGTCCTTACAAAATTTGAAAATATTTTATACAGGAAGTTTTAAGCGGGTGGAACCTTACTGGCAGGCCTTTTTTCAGGCTTATTTTTTTAAGTTTGTTGGCCTTATTATTTATTTACAAAATGCCACCGCTGACATAAACATCCAATGTCAGGGGGTGGAGGTCTGAATCAGTGAGAGAGCTCTTGTAGCTCCAAGGACCAATGGTCCATCCCGCCAGCCAAGCCACCACTGCCTCCCGGAACTCCGGGACACCCACTGGAGACAGGAGCCGAATGTCTTCCTAACAAAAGGGAAACGCCTATGAGGAAGGAGGCCAAATATTAGAAGGAACGGAAAGTAGAGCTTGGCTTGAGCCTTGAATGGCGGCTCATAGACGGGTGAAAAAAAATAACACTTGTGGGCATGTGAAACAACAGAAACAACAACAGGAAGTAGTTATGTGATTCAGTACAACACACCTGGGCACGGAATAAAAGAGCCGGGGCTCAGGGACCACACCTGCATCCTGCCACCTGGCCTCTCACCTGGTCTCGTACCTGCTCCACCCTCAATCACCAGAACCATGGGCTTGCTTGTGGCGCTCCGGGAGGCTCGGTCCAGCTGTGGGGGCTCGTGCTCCGGCTGTGGGGCTGGTGGCTGTGGCCCAGCTTTGGGGGCTGTGGCTCCGGCTGGTGGGGGGCTGTGGGGGCTGGTGGGCTCCAGGCTGCTGTGTGCCCGTGTACTGTGGTGCAAAGCCCGTGTGGCTGCTGGTTGCCAGGGGGCTGTAAGGGGGGCTGTGGCTCCTGTGGAGGCTCCAAGGGCAGCTGTGGCTCTTGCGGGGGCTATAAGGGGGGCTGTGGCTCTTGCGGGGGCTGTGGCTCCTGTGGGGGCTCCAAGGGGGGCTGTGGTTCTTGTGGCTGCTCCCAGTCCAGCTGCTGCAAGCCCTGCTGCTGCTCCTCAGGTTGTGGGTCATCCTGCTGCCAGTCCAGCTGCTGCAAACCCTGCTGTTGTTCCTCAGGCTGTGGGTCATCCTGCTGCCAGTCCAGCTGCTGTAAGCCCTGCTGTTCCCAATCCAGCTGCTGTAAGCCCTGCTGCTGTTCCTCAGGCTGTGGGTCATCCTGCTGCCAGTCCAGCTGCTGCAAACCCTGCTGTTCCCAGTCCAGCTGCTGTGTCCCCGTGTGCTACCAGTGCAAGATCTGAGGCTCTGCCCACAAACCTCAGCTGGTCCTACAGATCTGGGCCTCCAGGAATGACTGCAGCTGTGGCCTGAATTCCTGAAGCATGTCTCTGAGCCTGTCCTCCTCTGGACTAAGGCAGCCTAGTGTTCAGGGCTCAGTACTCAGCCGCTCAGCCTCTGAGGTCATGAGGGCTTCCGGCGTGCTGGATCCTGCCCATCAATTCTCCCGGAATCCCCTTTTCCTTTCCTGACCTCACCACTTCAACCTTCTCAGGGCTTCAAGATCCCACATCCCTGGGCCCCTCCTGTGAGCCTGCTGGAAACACGCTGAAACTGGAATCCTCTGACCTGCTGCCACCTATCCCGGGTCCCTGTAACCTCCTGTCTCCTCCACCCTTCGTCTTCATCCTGCCTGAGCTACCAGAGCTCCGATTGCTTTTGGAGTTGATCTGGAGGACTCAGAATTATTAGAGATCCCAGGATCCTCTCCTGAGGAGGAGGGGTGTCCAGTCTCCTCTTCTACCTCCGACCTGGCCTGGTTTCTTTGCCCCAGGGCTTCGCCTTGTAAGTACCCGGGCTGGATCTTCTAAATAAATACGATCCGTACCTCCCACGAGTTTGTGTTGTGATTCTTTCGTTTCAGCCTCTGTGTGATTAGAGAAATGTACAATTTTCACTGAGTTGCACTCCCAGGCATTTGGGAACCCCCTGTTCCCTGCTATGTGAGTTTGCTAGGGCTGCCCCACAAACCATGTGGCTTCAGCAACAGAAGTGGATTGTCTCACAGTCTGGAGGCCAGAATCCGCCATTGAGGTGCCGCAGGGCCAGGTCCTCCTGAGGCCTCTCTCCGTGGCTTACAGATGCTGCCATCCCTGTACCCTCACGTGCTCGTCCCTCTGTGTGTATCTGCATCCTCATCTCTTTGTATAAGGACACAGATTAGATTAGGGCCCACCCTAATCCATGAGGTCCACGTTTTAACTACTCACCCTGTAAAGACCTATCTCTAAATAAGGTCCCATTCTGAGATACTGCGGTGAGGACTCCAACATATGAACCAGGGGGCATAATTCAGCCATGGCATCCACTTGGGTGGGGGCCTCACCATCTTTCCCATCTTCTGGGGCACAGAATTGGGAGGCCCCTTGGGCTTCTCTCCCCGACAAGTCGCCAAATCCCACAGCATCTCCTAGAAGACATCCTACAGACATCTCCTTCCTACCTCCTTGTGACACCGCCCTATGCCGACCTCTGCTTCAGGCACCCACCTGTCCCTTCCCTGCTGCCTCTGTCAGCTCTGGCTGCCAGAACGAAACCCACAAAGTAAGCCTGGAGGACTGAACAACAGACACCATTTCTCCCAGTTCCGGAGGCTTTAGGGCCCCGGCCACAGTCCAGCAGGTTTGACTCGTGGGGAGGGAAGGCAGGAGCCGGCGGAGGAGGAGGTGGGCTGCAAGGCTGGAGCCCCCAGACCCAGGCGTCTGTAACAGCAGAGCACTGGAGGCTGCTTGGGAAGCCAGCGTCTCACAGGATGGCAGGCAGTGAGCGCCTGACAAAACTGTGACAAGAAAGTGAAGACTCAACAACACAGAATTTTTAGAAATTGCTTCTGAGTTTCTGTTTTAGTAAGGAAGGTTGACTAAACACTATTCACAACTCTTCTAAAAGGAACTTCTAAAAGGACAACCCCATCTCCACTAAAAATACAAAAATTAGCTGGGCGTGATGGTGGGTGCCTGGATCCCAGCTACTCAGGAGGCTGAGGCAGGAGAATTGCTTGAACCTGGGAAGCAGAGGCTACAGTGAGCCTAGATCGCACCACTGCTCTCCAGCCTGGGCAACAGAATGAGATTCTGCCTCTAAAGAAATAAATAAATAAAGCTTAAAGTGCTGTATTTAAAACATATATGTTTTTTAAGTCACTGAGCTGTTGAAAAAATAAATAATCTTCAGAGCCAACAAGCAAGAGAGAGATGAACCCACAGAAGAAGGTGAAAGTAAAAAACAGCCTCCACCCCTTGCCTGGACCAGAAAGAGACACTCTGTTTTCTTCCACCTGTGGTATCGCTTCCATTGTCAGTATGAATCTGAGAAAAACGTAGTTTCTCTACGCTCTCACACAGACCACTCTCATTCCTAATGTGCGAGTTTTCCCCACACCACTCAATTTTCTGCCTCTTTCCACACTGACTGATTCTCTGACACCAGCTGGGTGTCCTGCAATTCACTCCCATCCTGAAACAGGGTTCATTTCAGATCCCACAGGCGAAGGGCTGAGTCCCACAAGACTGTCCCCATTTGAGATGTTGACATGGTTTGGCTGTGTCCCCACCCAAATCTCATCTTGAACAGTAGCTCCCACAATTCCCCCGTGTTGTGGGAGGGACCCGGTGGGAGGTAATTGAATCATGGGGGTGGGTGTTTCCTGTGCTGTTCTCGTGATAGTGAATAAGTCTCACGAGATCTGATGGTTTTATGAAGGGGAGTTTCCCTGCACAGGTTCTCTTCTCTTGTCTGCCGCCATGTGAGATGTGCCTTTCACCTTCCACCATGATTGCGAGGCCTCCCCAGGAGAACTGTGAGTTCATTAAGCCTCTTCATTTTGTAAATTGCCCAGTCTTGGGTATGTCTTTATTGGCAGCATGAAAATGGACTAATACAGATGCCAGTCACGAGTCCAGGCCTCCCAAGCTTCTAACCAACGGGCTATAAATCAGGGTTCACACTGATACCTGAAATGAGTGGCTGAGGCAAAGCTCTCTACCCGTCAGGGTTTACTAAGCCTGCTTTAAGATGCATCTGGGAAAAATGCAAGACACAGGTACATCTGTGGCTGTTTTCCCAAAGAGGTTTTCGGGAAGTTTGGTATTTATACACTTCCTTAAAGGGAAGCAGGCAGGTAGGAAGAGGCAGGTAAGCGTTAGGCCAATGGTTGCACTCCTGTGAGACTTTAGTTAGTGCCCAGTAAGTCTGCATTTTACATAAGCTAAGGTAGGCGTTTGAGGAGAAAGGGGGACTAAAGGAAGAGTCAGTTGTGCAGACCTCTCTGGGTAGGTGAAGGAGGGACTGGTGTCATCTTGTTTTTGTTCTGCTCCTGGGAAGATAAACTCATAATCTATATGATTGGTGTGGAATGGAAGACTTTCATTCTGGGAGATGGACTTGGATTGCAGGCCTGAAGTCACAACGGGCACGTCCTTGTTGATGGCAGGACACACATCTTGAGAGGTTTTGCAAACAGCACGGTGCATATTTATCAGTGATTTGCGGGGGCAGTGTCCCGAGACGCCTGAGGCCTTTGCCGTTTCCTGGGCCTGGAGACCGAAACACACAGGCTGTGGAGGAACAGGGCTGCTTTTGCGAGAGGGCGGTGCCACTCAGCCTCCGGGCTTAACTTTCCCTTTGGCCTAAGGAGCTTGGGGGTCCTGAGATTTTTATTTTCCTTGACACAACACCACCCTCCTTGGGTTCGATAATCTGCTAGAACAGCACCCAGAACTCAGGGAAACACCTGCTTATGTTTACTGGTTTATTATAGAGGATGAGATCAAGGACACAGATGAACCCCCAGGTGAAGAGGCATCTAGGGTGAGGTCCAGGACGATCCTGAGTGTGGGAGCTTTGTCCCGTGGAGCCGGGGGCATCGCCGTCCTGGTGGGGGGATGTATGCACCAACCAGAAGCTCATGGGATCTCACTCTTTGTTGGGATGATCAGACCCAACACGAGGTCATGGGGGCGACGAAGTCCAGCGGAGTCAAAGGAATGAGGAAAAGACAGTTTGACAGAGAAAGTGGGACCAGGGGGCCACCGCGAGTGTGGAGGCTGCAAAGGCTCCGAGCTCTGGGAACCCAGGCTATTTATTGGTGCCCAAACAAACAGGCGGTGAGGATGTGGGGGTTGAAAGGAAACAGTGTATCAAGTGAATGAGAAACATATGGCTCCTTGAGATAAAGGCAGTGCTACAAGCAAGGAGCCAGCAAGTCTAGCAGATGTGCAAGCCCTGCCTCAGCTTCTCTCCCAATACTGTTCAGTTTTGTAGAGCTTTCACCCGCAGCCCTTCCCATCCTGGAGCTGAGAGTTCCCAGGCTCCTCTCACTGCATCTTTCTGGCCACTGGTCCCATCCCGAGGCCGTGTAGGGGCCCCACCCTAAGTCACCTCATTAGCATAAACTCAGGTGTGATCTAAGGGAGCTTATTAGAAATAACTAACAAACAAACAAACAAAAACCAATAACCCTCAGAGAAACTGCAAGGGTTTGAGGAGCAAGCCAGGTAGGAAGATCAAGACCATCTCTTCTCATACAGTGAAAGCTCCGGGTCAGTGTGCTAGGCTCATGTCCATGAGTCATTTCCATCATTTGATTCTGTGCAACTGCTGCTGGAGGAAGCTGTTACGAATCAAAGAAGAAAACAACTGAGTTTTTTAAAAGGCTTTGAGGCTGGGCACGGTGGTTCACGCCTGTAATCCCAGCACTTTGGGAGGCCAAGGTGGGTGGATCACCTGAGGTCAGGAGTTCAAGACCAGGCTGGCCAACATGGCAAAACCCCATCTCTACTAAAAATACAAAAATTAGCCAGGTGTGGTGGCTTATGCCTGTAATCTCAGCTACTCAGGAGGCTGAGGCAGGAGAATCGCTTGAACCCAGGAAGTGGAAGCCGCAGTAAGCCGAGATGGCGCTATTGCACTCCAGCCTGGGCAATAGAGTGAGACTCCATCTCAAAAAAAAAAAAAAAAAAAGAGAAAAACGTTGACAGGCCCAATGTGGATGGGCACTGTCAAGCTTCTGAGCCCAAGCTAAGCCATCATATTCCCTGTGACATGCACATGTACATCCAGATGACCTGAAGCAACTGCAGATCCACAAAAGAAGTGAAAATAGCCTTAACTGATGACATTCCATCATTGTGATTTGTTCCCGCCTCACCCTAACTGATACGATATATTCTCCCCCACCCTTAAAAAGGTACTTTGTAATATTCTCCCCACCCTTAAGAATGTACTTTATACACCTATCCCAAACCTGTAAGAACTAATGATAATCCGGCCACTCTTTGCTGACTCCTTTTTCGGACTCAGCCTGCCTGCACCCAGGTGAAATAAACAGCCTTATTGCTCACACAAAACCTGTTGGTGGTCTCTTCACATGAATGCACATGACATTTGGTGCCCAAACCTGGGACAGGAAGACTCCTTCGGAGACCGGTCCCCTGTCTCGCCCTTACTCCATGAGGAGGATATCCACCTATGACCTCAGGTACTCAGAGCAACCAGCCCAAGGAACATCTCACCAATTTCAAGTTGGGTAAGCGGTCTTTTCACTCTTCTCCAGCCTCTCTCGCTACCCTTCAATCTCCCTGTCCTTCCAATTCCAGTTCTTTTTCCTCTCTAGTAGAAACAAAGGAGACACATTTTATCCATGGACCCAAAACTCTAGTGCCGGTCACGGACTCGGAAAGACAATCTTCCCTTGGTGTTTAATCACTGCAGGGACGCCTGCCTGATTATTCACCCACACTCCACTGGTGTCTGATCACTGCGAGGACGCCTGCCTTGGTCACTCACCCACATTCCCTTGGTGGCAAGTCAATTACAGGGATGCCTGCTTTGG